GCCTGGCTAATTAAAAAATTTTTTTTTGTAGAGATGGGTTCCTGCTATGTTGCCTAGGCTGGTCTCAAACTCCTGGCCTCAAGCGATCCTCTCCCATTGGCCTCCCAAAGTGCTGGGATGGCAGACATGAGCCACTGAGCATGGCTGGATCTTGATTCTTAAATTTTAATTTTTATATGGTCTTTCATACAAAATGTAGTAAATGAAGCTGATATCATATACACTCAAAGACTCTTCCTTGGCTTCTACTTTAAAAGGCATTAACAACTCATAAAAATTCAAGGCAGTGTCCATGAGACTGCCATGAAAAAGTAGGCTTCCAAGCCAGAAGCAGTGGCCTGCACCTATAGTCCCAGCTACTCGGGAGGCTGAGGTAGGAGGCTGACTTGAGCCCAGGAGTTTGAGGTTACAGTGAGCTCAACCACGCTCCAGCCTCCAGCCTGGGCAGCAGAGAAAGATCCTGTCTCTAAAAATAAAAAAAAATTTGAAAAGGCAGGCTTCCAGTGATGGTATGTGCTAGGGTACTAAAGTCACAGGAACTGGCAATCTTGAAATCCCTGCCTTGAGTGACGTTCTCTACATCACTGAGGAAATGATGGTCTGCCATGCCTTGCCTCCTTTCCCCAAGTCCTCCCCAAGTCCTCTCTCAGATGAGAGATTATTTCCTTACCAAACATGATTTGATTTTTTCATTGGCCAGTGGAATAATATACTAACAGCAACAATTTAAAAACCTTTATGATAAGCATTCATAGAGATATTTGAAATTATAATTAACTGTATATGTAATTAAGGAAAGGCCCAAGGTATGTAAATAATCTTTTTTTATTTCACTTAGAAAAAAGCAAGTTAGTTTGTTCATATTAATGTGAGTCTTTGATGTTCTAGAGGTTCATAGCCCCTGAAATTCATAACCTGGTTCAGGAGGAGTTGGAAAATTGGACAGTTTCCCCATTCCTACTCAGAAAATGTGTATGCAGAGTGGGGAATAACATCACAGAGAATTTTGTAATAAAGCAGTATTTATCATGATTAGCCTCTGGATAGGTAAATATTGACTCTACTCATTTTTATTTCTGAAAGAAAGGATATTCTTTTAGTTTTCCTGCCTTGTGTTTTGCCTAAAATCAAAATATTTGTGTTCCCTCTTGGTGCATAGATATTATCCCCACAAGATCCGTGAGATTTTTAAATTACATAAGTAGAGAATGAGGGATTTATGGCAGTTACCCAGAAATATTAAGAACCAATCCTGCCTTGCCATACTGTAACATATTCTGCAAGAATGACATGAGCCATTGTATTTTTTTTTTAATTTTAATAGATTTAGGGGGTACAAGTTGAATTCTGTTACATGTATATACTGTATAGTGATGTGGAATCTGGGCTTTTGATGTACCCATCACCTGAGTAGTGTACACTATATCCCATAGATAATTTTTTATCCCTCACCCCCTTCTAACCTCCCCTCTTTTGAGTTTCCAATGTCCATTATACCACTCTGTGTGCCTTGTGTAGCCATACTTAGCTCCCACTTAAGTGAGAACATGCAGCATTTATTTTTCTGTTCCAGAGTTACTTCACTTAGGATAATGGCCTCTAGTTCCATCCAAGTTGCTGCAAAAGACATAATTTCATCCATTCTTATTGCTGAGTAGTACTCCATGGTATAAATATACCACATTTTCTTAGTCCACTAATCAGCTGAGGGGCACTTAGGTTAATTCCATAACTTTGCAGTTGTGAATTGTGCTGCAATAAAATACAAGTGCAGGTATCTTTTTGATACAATGATTTCTTTTCTTTTGGGTAGATACCCAGTAGTGGGATTGCAGGATCGAATGGTAGATCTACTTTTAGTTCTTTGAGAAATTTCCACACTGATCTCCATAAAGGTTGAACTAATTTACATTCCTACCAACAGTGTGAAAATGTTCCCTTTTCACTCATCCTCACCAACATCTATTTTTTTTTGACTTATTAGTAATGGCTATTCTAATTGGAATAAGATATTTCAGTACAGTTTTAATTTGCATTTCCCTGAGGATTAGTGATGTTGAGCATTTTTTTATATGTTTGTTGGCCATTTGTATATCTTCTTTTGAAAAATGCCTGTTCATATCATTTGCCCACTTTTTAAGGGGGTCGTCTGGCTTTTTTCTTGCTGAGTTGAGTTCCTTGTAGATACTGGATATTAGTCCTTTGTTGGGCACACAGTTTATGAATATGTTCTCCCATTTTATAGGTTGTTCATTAACTCTTTTGATTTATTTCTTTTGCTGTGCAGAAACTTATTAGTTTAATTAGGTCCCATTTGTCTATTTTTTATTTTATTGCATTTGCTTTTGGGGTCTTAATCATAAATTCTTTGCCTAGGCCAATGTCTAGAGGGTTTTTCCTAGGCTTTCTCCTAGGATTTGTATTGTTTCAGGTCTTATATTTAAGTCTTTAATCCATCTTGAGTTCATTTTTGTGATTAAATATACAAAATGGTGAGAGAGAGAGATCCAGTTTCATTCTTCTGCATATGGCTAACCAATTTTCCCAGCACCATTTATTGAATGGTATGTCCTTTCTCCAGTGTATGTTCTGGTCTGCTTTGTTGAAGATCATTTGGTTGAAGGTATATGATTTTATTTCTGGGTTCTCTACTCTGTTCCATTGATCTATGTATCTATTTTTATGCCAGTACCATGTTATTTTGGTTACTATAGCCTTGTAATATAATTTGAAGTCAGGTAATATGATGCCTTCAGTTTTATTCTTTTTGCTTAGGATAGCTTTGGCTATTCTGTACTTCCTTTTTGAAAGACAAAAAAGTGGAGCGTCAATGGTATTTTTCTTGAACCTGTAGAGAGCATTTTTCTCCTGTCATTGCCTCCTATGCTGACATGTACCGTGAGCCTAGAGTCTGCTGCTGCTCTATACTCATTTGTATTACTATTTAAAATTCTGTTCTAACTCCTTCTTTTACATTTTCAACTGTTTTGTTTAGAGTTACAAGGAGAGAAACCGAGAAAGTCACTTGAGAATGGCAGAAAACAAAGGGTGATATTATCATTTGTACATGAGACAATTCAGACTATTTATTGTCAACCTAGAATGAACTGCCCCACTGGTACCCATTTTAATAACCTCTAATGGAATATATTGCTCAGTTTTATCTGTATGCACATCTTTATGAAATATTCTGTAAATTACAGTGGAAAGAGGCCACAGATATCTATTCTCATAAAAGAAAAAGTAGAAAGAGTTTCTGGGGAGGAATCACTTAACCACACACAAAATGACATTTGTGATTTTACTCTCATTTAATAAGGCAAATGCTTTTCTTTTAACAGAGGAATTCAAGGGCTCCACCGTCGTTGAATTGATGAAGAAGGAAGGCACTACCCTCGGTCTGACAGTATCAGGAGGAATTGATAAGGATGGCAAGCCAAGGGTATCTAATCTGCGGCAAGGAGGAATTGCTGCTAGGTAACTACCTCTCAGGGAAATCTGGGGAAAAAAAGACTGGGTGTAATTAATTCAAAAATTAAAGCTACATCAGAAAGGTCACCAATAAATAAATGACAGCTGCCATCTGCTGGGCAGCACATCCCAGCAGAAGCACAGTGGGGCATGTCTCAGAAGCTACTCTCCAGGACTGCCTATGTGGCTGTTCTGGCCTGTGCTGAAGTCACTAGGGAGATTACTGTGTCATCTCAAGAGCTGCCAGGCCCTCATAAGGTTTTTAATTTTTAAAAGCCTAGATGGATCTAGTCCCCAAATGTGCCACTAAACAGCAGATAAGCTGCAGTTGGGATAAGAAACTCTGATCATCTACATGTGGAACAGATGACTCCTATAATGTAAATGGGGGAACGGCCACAGAGGGACAAGGCTAGCCTAGGAAGAGTGGGAGACCCAGCCTCGAGGTTCTAAGTAAAAGTTTTCTTTGTCCCACATCTTCTCTACTTTCCTACTTGTGAGATTTTCTTTTTCACCAAGACAAAGAGATGGTTTCTGAAATGACAGAAGGCTTAAAGGAGGAAGTCTCACCTGCCCTTCTTTCCAAGAATTGCAAATTGCACTAGTCATTGCCAAAGGCAAAATGTCCTGGATGCAGGTCAGGGATGAGCTTGCTGTGTAGATACATTCTAAATTTACCTAAGAAAGAGAGGATGGAATGATCAGGTTTCATTAAAAGTGAGGATAATGTACCTTAAATCCTGGCCACCAGTATTCTTGCTCACATAATTCCAAGTTAAATTTTAGAGTTTTTGCTTTATAGAGTGTCATCAGAAATGGTAATTACTTTTAATGATCAGCATATTTGTACAATTTATGAGCTTAATCCAATCACTTGCTCCATGATCGGGAGGTATTGTTTGTAAGAGAGGTTGATGTGAACACAAGCACTGCAGTCTGCTTTCTGTAGGCTTTTAAGACTTTTTTCGGCCCCCACAGCCTTTATTTTATGAGTGATGGCCAGTCCACAATGCTAGGGCATCCTGTCTCTAGGCTTCTTCGTGTCTTGAAGCAAGTGTGAATGGAAGGAGTGGACAGCTGGCATTGTTGTTGTATTAATGCTGTGATTAAAAGTGGTACTGTGCCAGTTATATTGAGTACTAAAAATCACCAAATATTCGTTTTCAAGGCACCACCATTTTACAGGGAATAAATCAAAATAATTAAAGATAAAGTCCTTGCCCTTAAGGGGCTTATAATCTACTGGGGGAGATAAGTTACAAAACACGTGAAAAGTTTGAGAGGAATAATGGCCTTGCACAATAGTGAAAAGCAGCAACACAGGAGTCATCATAGAGCACTGGGCAGTGAAGTTGCTGCTAGTGTCAGCAAACCTGAGGTATGAGCCACAGCACGTGCTGAAGGCTGCAATCTGTTAGGAAGCTTTCTAAAGGAAGAATGATTGGAACTGGATTATATAAAATAAATGCATTAGCTATTTCTATTTGGGGAGAAAATGTTATGGAACGTCCTTATCACTGGCAGGAGTTCTAACTCCTATTATTGGTCTTGCTACCTGCTCTTGGTTTAGAAGTAGAGTCTCACTAACAGCCCAGGAGCAGCGGAAGTTCTGCTATGGTGGTAAAAGACAGATGAGAATGTTACTGAAACCCAATACTTGCTTTGTAATTTCTTCTTCGCCAATACCATTTCTATCCATCCTGCTGTAAGCAATAAACAGCAAAATAAGCTGACCCTTTCCTTAGTCCTGGACAAACTCCCAGTGAAGATATTAAAAGCTGTGAAATGTGCGAAAGGCAGGCAGCAGGAATGAGAGAAAATGAGAAAAAAAAGACCTAGCATGTCTAGGATATGGATCCAACACCAACTGTTTAGGCCAAAGCAACTAAAAAAATGTTTCTCTTTATTTTGTTTTATGGTGCTTTTAAAAATAAAAGCAGCAAAAGGTTAGGAAAAAATCAGAGATACCAGCAGATCCAGCACAAGGCTTCTGAGGTGTCACAGACAGCAGGAGTAAAAGGGATCTTTTGACTCATCTGCCCACAGCTGGCTCCTACCTTCAGGGGCCGGCCATCTCCCAGGAGGCGGGGACATCTGCTACATGGGCCCAGTAGGCTTGCATGCTTATTCATGAAGGAGAAACGGAAAAGGGCATCAGACTGACCTGTGGAGAGGATGGGTCCACTGAAGCGACATTGTCTGTTTTGCAGAAGTGACCAGCTGGACGTAGGGGACTACATCAAAGCAGTGAACGGGATCAACCTCGCCAAATTCCGCCATGATGAGATCATCAGCTTGCTGAAGAACGTCGGGGAAAGAGTGGTTCTTGAAGTGGAGTACGAACTTCCACCAGTTTGTAAGTACAGTAGCCCCCTTTATCTCTGGGGGATACAGTCTAAGACCCCTGGTGAATGCCTGAAACCATGGATAGTACCTATAGATACAAACCCTATAGATACTATGTTTTCTTTTTCCTATGTCTCACTCCTATGATAAAGTTGACTCTATAAATTAGGCATGGTAAGAGCTTAACAACAATACTACTAATAAAATAGAGCAATTATAACAATATACTAGCATCATTACTCTTGTGCTTTGGGGCCATTATTAAGTAAAACAAGGGTTTCTTGAACACCAGCACTGAAGGACAGAGAGAGTCAATCTGAGAACAGGCCAGCCACTAAGTGACTAACAGGCAGGTAGTGTAGACAGTGTGGGTGCACTGGGTGAAGGGGCAATTCCATGACCACAGCAGGATGGAGTAGATTATGTGAGATTTCATCATGCTACTCATAACAGCATGCAATTTAAAACTTATGAATAGTTTATTTCTGGAATTTGCCATTTAATATTTTCGGACCGTGGGTAACTGAAACCACAGAAAGTAAAACCACAGATAAGGGGTGGCCACTGAAATCACAACCCAGGGGCAGAACAGCAGCACCACATTTTTTCCCAAAGCTTCTTAATTTTTTCCTTTGCCATCAGTATCTCATTACAGGAATGTCAGAGTTTCTTGACATTTAAAAATTAATTAAATTGAAAAACCTGTAGCCCACTCAGGAAGAATTAAAAAGAGCATAGGTATCAATGAAATTACATAGGACCCATGTTCCATTAAGATGATCTGTGTACATTATATTTGCCACTTAAGCATTTTAATAAATAGTCAATGTATTTGTAAGATCTATGCACTACGAACCATCCAGGCTTTGTACTTAGTGACTAGGTTTAGGAAAAGTATGTTTAGCATGTTTTATATTGACCCTTGTATAGATATGTTCATTTCTGAAGCATGAAAGTAGCTTCAGAACACATTATTGTCAAGGAATAATAGTAATAATAACACGAGTAGCCAACATATTTTGATTGCTTACAAAATGTCCAGCATTATAAAGAACCTGACTTACCTTGATTTACTTAATCCTCACCACAAGGAGGGTCAGCATAGCAGAGACAAACTTCAGTATCAAACAGCCAGGTTCAAATCCCAGCTTCACCTTATACTAGCTATAAGCCTTTGAGAAATTTACTTAAACCTTCTTTCTCAGCTTCCACATCTGTAAAATGGGAATGATGTTAGTTCTTACTCATAGATTTGTTATGAGAATTAACTGAGTTAGTATTTGTATAACACTTAGAGCAGTGCCTGGCACTATAAAAGTTTTCGATAATCAATAAGTCAATCAGCACTAAAAGACAGGTACTATTATTATTTTTCTCATTTTACAGAGGCTTAAGTTGATTATCTTTTCCAAATTAGTAGGCTGCAAAGTCAGTATCTGAACCTATGCTTTCTGATTCCAGAGTCCATGTGCTTATTTATTGTAAGTTCTACCTATCTGTG